AGAGACAATATTTAGAACAGCAATTTGTAGTGAAATCAAGGAGATTCATCGAAATATTATCCATGAAAAAAAATTCTGAAAATATTTTACGCGAGAATTTCCTTTTGGCCCCGCCACGATAAGACATAATGCCAGGTTCATGGCGATATTTCAAAAAGGGATTTTTCGGGGGTTTACAGGTCCTTTAACGTTGCAAAATACACGTTATAGCCTTCGCCGATACTCGGCTACGTCCGACGATCTTCCGCCGAGTCTTCGCAGACACATAAAACGCGGTTTTCCGAAAAAAAACAAAAAATGTCAAGAGCCGACGAAAACTGTTCATTTACCACCAAAATATGTGTAATTTCGGTGTAAAATGCTGATTTTTAAAAATTCACACTGACCGTAATTTGCACTTTTAAAACTCAAAATTTTCCTTAAAAAAATGTACATGTCTGTTCTACAACTGTGCCAAATTTGGCATTTTTATGATGCATAGTTGCAAAGTTATGAATTATTTCTAGCGACCAAATTTCTCGGGACACCTTGTATTTAAATTTGAATTTTAGAATGTAAAAAGCTGCAATTTTTCCAAGGTCACACTCAAAAATCTGTTGAAGCTGATAAAAGAATCTACCCCTAATGTAATATCTTTTTAATTTCTGAAGTGGCAGATTCTTCTCTACACGGTAGATGAGGCAGTTTTAGTTTTACTTCATATTTTGTATAGGATGTTAAATTTTCCTGTTTTGGTAAAAGCCAAAAGTTAAAGTTTATTTTAAAAAGTCATCAGAACTTATCACACCTAGAGCGAGGTTTAATCCGCTTTCAAGCGAATGTTTCTGACGGAATTCTATTCAAATTGACTACAAGTTATAGAAAATTGTTCTTTACGTGTACTAATTGACATAATATTACTTAAAGCTAAAGAAATTTTGTCTAAAATCAAAATCTATCAAATTAACTACTTTATGAATGTACATATGTATAATTCTATTATGTTCTTGTTTTTTTTCCCATTGTCTGCAGAAACAGTAAACGAAAAGTATTTTGAAATTCGAATAGAAACTGACGAATTAACGAGTAAGTTTAAACAATTTGACGATTTTATAATAATTAAAGCTTAGGAACACCTAATACTCATGTACAGAGGAACTCCTGTATAACGAATCGCTCGGAGGCTTGAAATTTGTTCGTTATAAAGGAGTTTCGTTATACAGGAGTTTTAAATGCACTGTGCAGTGGTAGACGGGAATTTAAAAGTTGTTCGTTATACGGGAGTTTCGTTATACAGGAGTTTCACTGTATATCTATATTTTCATTTGATTTTGCTTTCAAATTTTCAAATTTGTTATTTTTTTATTTGTTACAGCATCAGACCTTTACGTTGGATCTGAAAACGAGCGAATTAGAGTTGGCGTTGACATTAACAGTTTTTTTACTTCCCTTGTAGATCATGAATGCTTATTAGAATTTAATCAGTGCCAAAAATTTTGTAGCCACAGTAAGTCTTTTTCAAAAAAATAAAATTGCTTTAAACACTTAGAATTCTTAATTTTTGGCAGCGAAGCCAAAGGCAGGGCAAAGACAGGGCAAAAGCAGGGCAAAGACAGGGCAAAGGCAGGACAAAAGCAGGGCAAAAGCAGAGCAAGGGCAGAGCAAGGGCAGGGGCAAGACAAAGGCAGGGCAAAGGCAGGGCAAAGGCAGGGCAAAGGCAGGGCAAAGGCAGGGCAAAGGCAGGGCAAGGCAGAGCAAGTGCAGGGCAAAGGCAGGGAAAGGGCAAAGGCAAGGCAAAGGCAGGGCAAAGGCAGGGCAAAGGCAGGGCAAAGGCAGGGCAAAGGCAGGGCAAAGGCAGGGCAAAGGCAGGGCAAAAGCAGGGCAAGGGCAGGGCAAAGGCAGGGCAAAGGCAGGGTAAAGGCAGGACAAAGGTAAGGCAAGCCTTAAAGTTCAAACTTTAGTGACATTATGCTATCACTACTGCCACCCATTGTGCTGTGCATCATCTTCTGAGTTAACATTTACATGTAATAGACGGAGGGAACTACCATCTTTCAAACATAACTCAACAACATTTCACAAAACCTCACAATACTACAGAACGTTGTTTACTTCTGGAATCATTGGCAAAGATGACTTTAAGTTTTTACCAGTAGGCAAAGTAGTAGATAAAAATGCTTCCTTTACTGCTACTAAACATAGCGTTAAGGTATCAAGTTACACTGGTTATCAACACTTTAGCCTATCAAAGTCGGGCTCATCAAGCCTTATCACGTTGCCCCAACAACAATTTTTTTTGCAATTGTTATGGTCGTTAGATTCAGAAAAGGTTTACGGAGTAACAAGTAACAAGTTGGGGTTAGGAAGGAGTAAAATAAAGTCAAATATAGTAGAGACGTTGTATAACAACAGCGTCATCTCAAGCCCTGTTGTGACGGTCACCTGGTTTGAAAATGATAAGCCAAGGCCAGGTGAGTATATTAAAGTTCACAAACTTGTGTTTGGAAGGTACGATTCAGAATACTGTAGTAATGGTTGGAAGTACTTGACTCCGGTTAGCGATGTTTATTGGATGTTCGACGCTCAAGAGTACTACTTTTACAATTTTGGAGAAAAAACTGATTTTCGAGTAGGATTTACAATTTTTATATTTTTTATTGTTTTTAGGGTTAGGGAAACGGGATAGCGTCTAACGAAAATTTTTTAACTTTTGAAACAGAACTTTTTGCGCATCCTGTATATTAAAAAATTTTAATTTATATTTATATTTAGATAATACTTTCCGCAGCACCTCACACAGCCTTATCTCAAAAACACATAGAACGATTAGTGAATGACAACGTGCTCCAATTGCTTAACAAATTGTACATTTTAAAAAATGCTACTGAGTTTGAATACAGATGGCATGTCAATAACAATACCTTATCTTACAATTCCAAAAGATTTGAAGAAAGTTTTATGTTCATTTATCCAATTGATCCGAATCTAGATAACCTACAGTTCATTTTGGGCCACGAAATCTTTAAAAGTTACTGTGTGGCAATTGATTATCAAAGACAGCTATTAGCTTTTGCTGATTGTAATCATGAGTTTTGTCGAAATGAATGGTAAAAACTGTAAAATATGTAATATGTGTTGTTGTAATGCTGATTGTTATTACGTTATAATTATGATGGTTATCTGAATATTATTATTTGAAATTTTTAAGCTTAATTGACACAAAAAGTCGCTGATCGGTCCCGTTCTGATTGACTTTAAACTTTTTGTATAGACAGATCATGTAACTATAAGATCTTCAGCAAATCCCTCTTTGACTATAATATAATGTAACAAGCTGTCCTACTTGTACCCAAGATGAATTAGAGTTCTCATTTGTGAACCGCCGGAAGATTCGAAATTCAGCGCTCTGACTTTCACAATGGCTGAGCAATTGACATAGCTGAACTTCTTTAATGCCTCTTTCATTTCATTTAGTTCATCGTATTTGCGTTCGTAGGCCGTTGACATGCTGTTTGCGCTGAATTTTAGACATTACGAGAAAAGTGTCCCATCTGCCTCGCTTTGATTGACTCCGAATTTTTTATGTAGAAAGATTATATATTTCAAGATCATATTTTGGATCTTCACCAATGTACTAAATCGCGCTTTCCAGTCAATCTCGCAAAAATTGAGATCAAAAACTTAAGTTTTGAATCTCCCGCCAATTTGGCATTGTGTTCCAAGCATATAACGTTGCCATTTATTGACTTTTAATTATTTTTCTTTAATATACTAGTAGAATACTTTTAAATAAACCTACATTTTTAAATTTGTAAGCATAGCGTGTCGGAAAGTCGAAAAAAGTGATTGAAACACAATGCCAAATTTGCCAAATTGGCGGAGAACCAAAATAATTTAAATTTAAAACTCAAAAACTAAATCTAAAATTTTGTATAGATACTATTGGTGGTACAAAATATAAATTTTTAGTTGATTCTGAGCAAGGCAGGTTGGGTACTTTCCACTTGAAGAAAAAGACTGGCAAAAACTTTTTTTTTTCTTTTTTTTAAACACCCCTCTTTTTCTTATTAAACAAGCTAAAATCAACTGTCATACCATGCTCGTAGTTCCATTACAATTCATTTTTCAAAAGACAATTGTTACCCGAATTTATTTCTGAATACAATTATGACAACGGGATGAAGTAAGGCAATATAAACTTGTAGGTATTTAGTTATTGTGCACAATATAAAGCTGTATTCATGGCAGTACAGTAAGTTTGAATTACTGCAGCATTTTTCATACAAGACACATTAGTTAGAAGGTTTTCAAAATTATATTTTAGATACAATTTTTTTAAACAACACGTAAATTTGAAAAATAATTTTAAAAAATTTAAATGCAATGTAAAATACCAGGTTGTTCAAATAATTCTGTGCCCCATTTCAATGCATGTTTATGGAATTAGGGGCACAAGAGTATTTGAAAAACCTAATAGAAATACTATGAAATACTAAGTTGTAACTAAGATCGGGATAGAGTATGATACACGTATCGTAATTTCTCCGGAGTATTGCGAGTTATTTACAAAAGATATATTGTGGTAGGGTGGTAATGTATAAAAAGGTTATTTGGGACTAGATATTTGCGTAAATTTAAAAATTGGTTAGCATTGTTGTTAAAAATGGACTGCTTGTCTTATCTTTATAAGATGTTGTAGTAGGGGTAGTAGAACAGATGGCTCGATTGTTGTGGTCATAGTACTGTAACTTTCAAGATTTTGATAATATAGTACAATAGATGGCTCAATTGCTGTAGGCATATAACTGTGTAGTACTAAGCAAGGTAAAGTTAATGAAGGTAGAGTACTGTGAACGGTTGGCCTTGATATGGTACTGCATAGTACAATAAATTAAACATAGTATCATACTGTATAGTACTGTAAATGGACCGTAGTGTTATACTGTATAGTCTGTATTTGGGAACAGTTGATATTTTGTACAGTATCAGATATTTCAACCCCATGTATCATAGTGACACTCTCACGCCGACATCTTCACATTGCCATTACTAGGCTCAATGTCCTCGTTATATCTCCTGAAGCTGTCTCTTGACGCATCCGTCGCTTTAGGCTTATAATCTTCATCCAAACTACTTTCCTCATGTGGATGACGAGGGTTCACTCCAGTCAATATCTTGGCCGGTACTACGCAACAATCGAAAACATCAGTCGAAACGGCACTCTCTTCTCCATCCAAAAACGCAATCAACTTCAGCTTTGGAGCATGACAATAAGCGTGACGAAGCTCGATAGCAAAGGAGAGAATGTACATTTGGAAACAGATGGCCAACAGCCATTCGGAACAGGTTCCGATCATGTGCTCTACGTAGTTCTGAAAGGGGGAGGTTAAAAAATAAAAGTTTTGTAGGAGTGGAGTATATAAATGTTACTTTGAAAGAGGTAAGAACTTGTTCAGTTTGTTTTTTTTCTGTAAAATACGATGGCTTGAATTCTAGTTTCATATTTTAATATTATGGTTAAAACTTACATGTTCATGGCCACTCCACTTATAAAATCCTTCTTGATCATCAAGTTCATCAGCACTTTTCGGTTGGCGGCCAAGAATGGGGCCAAATACCACCACTAAAATTAAAATTTTGAGTTTAAAACTTGAATATTTTTTAAAATGTTACAGTACTTTAGATTAAAAAGTATAAAAAAAATCAGAAAAAAAATCTTTTAATTTTTAAAAATTTTTGAAAATCAAAAAATCTTCAAAAAAATTGAACTTGGTCCCCCCTGTTAATTTTCTAAAAAAATTCTAATGTTTAAAAAAATTAAATCTAACAAGGGAAGATACTTTAATCGCAGATGGACTTTGAGATGAGACCTATATATTCTGAAAACTGAATTCACAGGTAGTACGGATCTGAAAACCGTTTTTCTGTGCGGCTCTTAGTTTTTGAGAAAATCGCCTTTAAAATATGGCAAGAATTTTGGCGAAACGAGCGCGCCGAAAAGAAGTGCGCAATTAATTCAAGGAAAACAATTAGCGGCGTGGCCGAGTGGTGAGTCAGTTTTCTTTCGGATGTCGTTGGGGGAGTTCGATCTCTGCAAAAGTTTTACAGCGGCTTAAAATTATTTTTTACTTAAAATTTTTACAGTATTTTATAAGCTTGGGCATTTTGATGATTTATATTGAAAAATTAATTTATCTATGGCTTAAAAGTTGCTTTATTGAAAAAATTACAAAACAAAGAAAACAAAACTAAAAAAAATTAATTTTTTTACATATTTGCATACAAAATGCATAACTTCAAGCTGCTGCAAAAGTCTTGCACAAGGCCGGGTTCGAACTCATCCACCAATAGACGAAAGAAAACTGACTCACCACTCGGACACGCCGCTACTTGTTTTCCTTGAATTAATTGCGCACTTCTTTTCGGCGCGCTCGTTTCGCCAAAATTCTTGCCATATTTTAAAGGCGATTTTCTCAAAAACTAAGAGCCGCACAGAAAAACGGTTTTCAGATCCATACTCTCCGTAAATTCAGCTTTCAGAATATATAGGTCTCATCTCAAAGTCCATCTGCGATTAAAGTACCTTCCCTTGTAAGTTCAAAAAAACTCACTCGAAACAAAGAAAACCGAGCTCAACAAGCACAGTACTAATCGGCAATGTGACACAATAGGTCTGGCCAGTTTTGGATTCATCATGTAACTAAAAACAGTCTGTGCCCACGTGTAAATCAATCCACAGCCAAAAGCCAACAAAGCTCCGGTGTAATGAACGTAGATGACATGATTCTCCTGGAAGTTGGCCACCATGCTAACACCAAAAGCTGATGTATAGCCCAGCCATAACAGGCCACAAGAAACGCCACGCCATCTCCCGACTTGCTTAAAGCGATGCCAATAGAATTCGACGATCTGACGATGTCGAAGGTATACTGTGATGGCGAGAAACAGGGCGGATAAGTTCAAAAGTTGCCCGAATACGCAACTTTCTGGAGGGAAGGCGCCGCTGTCACTGAAAAATTATTTTTAAACTTCTAAAATTAAAAAAAAAATTTTTAAATTTAAAAAAACATTAAAAAAAATAAAAAATTTTAAAAAAGTTTTTTTTAAATTAAAATTTTTTTTACTTTTACTTTACAGAGTAAATCAAGGTAAAATACGCACTTCTCATTTCTTATTTTTTTAATTTAAAAAAGTACATTTTTTCAAAATTTTAAAATTTTAAAAAATCAAAAAACAAAAAAATAATTGATCTTTTGATTCATGGTCATTGTCGTATTTCTAAAAGCATTTTTATTACTGTTTGACTTTACTTTGTTTACGTGTTTTCTTGTATACATCATGTTTTTTTCGAAAGCTTTACAAATTGAGCTTTTAATTGTGCTACAGTACAGTAAAAAACTACATTTTTCAAAATCAAAACTATTTTTCAAAAACCGTTTTTTGAAATTTTAAGGTTGTGTCTTCAGTAAAAAAATGAAAAATTAGTGACACATACCTAATATACGGCCAAAAAGTGGAAACATGCCCAACCGACACCGCCATAACATAGCTGACCAGAAAAGCGGCCAACGAGAAGATGAATGTGCATAATGGAATCACCCAGACCTTGTTCAGCCCCATGTCACTCAAAGTAACATTCGCTGCGTCTGCTTCAACTAAAAGTGGAGTTTTGTAAAATATGTATTTACTAAATGTTACAAAATAAAAAAAAACGAAACAGATAGTGATAGTGACAGCACGTACAATAATAAAACTAAAATTTTAAAAATTTGAAATATTTTGATTTTTCGAAATTTAAAAATTTCGAAATTTTTTGATTTTTAAAATTTTAAAAATTAAAAAAAAATTAGTTTTAGTAGTGAGAGTTACTCTACCCTACTCTGGTTTACCTACCTTACTTTGCCCTACCCTACTCTACCCTACCCTGCCCTCCCTACCCCATCCTATCCAATATTACCGTCTTTCTTTATCCTATCCTGACCTATCTCAAATTAATTTGTTCTATCTACTACAAAAATAGTAAAAATTTTATAAAATACAAATTTAGAAAAAAAAAATTTTTTTTTTAATTTTTGCATGGTACAAAAAGATTGAAACAAATTGTTAACCTACTAATACGCAAATCTAGGTACACAAATACAGATACAATTACAAGGAATTAAATATTGTTGCAAGTAGGCAAACAAAACCCAAAAAGAACGGTGAAGAACAGTGAAGAACGACACGTTTTATAAATGTGCAAAACTGCTTCATTTTTTAAGAAAAATCATTTTCACTAACTCAAATTTTAATAAAATTTTTAAAAAATGTAAAATAAATTTTAAAAAATATTAAAATTGACCAAAATGCCCCTAAAACAATAACTAAAACACCATGTTTCAATAAAGTTCAAGTTTCAAACTACACCAGTAGAAAGGTCCAAAAATGCATTGTAAAAGACCGAAGGGATTGGTCTGGAATTTGTGTGTTTTGTACTGCTCATAAAGCAACTAGAATGCAATTTGTTTATTGTAAAGGATCCGTTTTGTTAAGGAAAGGTTAAGGCAAACAGAAGAGGTCGTAACGGCTAGAATTATACATAACGGTTGAGGTAAACACAGAAAAAACGTAATGATCTGAGACAGAGAAGTATGATAATGTAGTTCAACTTGGTTTTTATACCCTACCCTACCCTACCCTACCCTACCCTACCCTACCCTACCCCACCCTACCCTACCCTACCCTACCCTACCCTACCCTACCATACCCTACTCTACTCTACCCTACCTTACCCTATCCTACCTGTCCTGTACTTCACTCCTCGGGCCTCTTGTCCTGCCCTGGCCATTCTACAGTAATTTCAAACTTTTTAATCAAAACTCATTTTGAAATTTCAAAATCCATGAGATCACATAGCGAAGCACCGACACAATTTATTCGTCTACAATGTCATGGCGTAAATCCCGGAATCTTTTTTTCCTTCAAAATTAGGTAATTTCAAGAAGATTTCTCAAGTTTACAACAGTCTCTACCTTTAACTACAATCCCTACTTTTACGAAGATGCGCGCGAAAGAAAAACGTCTGGATTTTTTATGTTACCCTACCTTACCCTACCTCTCCTCACCATAATTTTTCCCCATCGCCCCTTCATTCCTACCTTATTGCTCATTAATTTGTCTGTATGAACAGTAAAACTCATTAAATACCCGCATCGAACGGCTGAACATTGACTGTACAAACAAGCGTTTTGTCTTCGAATATTTGTTTTATTTTTGAACTCGGAACTCAGTGAACCGAATCAACGTTCTTTAAAAGGCATTAGTGATGGGTTAGACGCGTTCTTCGCAGTAAATATGTTACATTTTGGAGCAAGCGTGACATTTTTTGAAATTAGAACTTGAGACAACCCTATCCTACACTACTTTACTTTATTCTATTCTACTTTACTCTACCCCACACTAACCTACAAAAAAAAATTTTTTTGGAGTTTCGGTCAAAACGTTTATAGAAAATAAATGAAAATCAAATAGAACAAAAGAAAATGACTTATTAACAATTTTTCTTTAAACTTTTTGACCGATAAATATCAAAATCAAAATTTGTCATTTTTTATTAAAATATTTAAGAAAAAATTTTAAAATTTGAATATTTTCGTTTTAAAAATAGACTTTAAGATGCGGTAACTCGTGATCAAAACAAATCGCAAGTTTTTGGTTTTTTAGCATAAAATCATTAATTATGCATGGGAAAGTCAGAAAGCAAAACATAAAAATAAACACTTTTGCTAATGATTACATTATAAAAATTTTTTTTGCAGTATTGATTTTATTTTGGCAAGTACTGTATCGTATAAAGAAGCTAAAAAAGGAGGGGGGAGGGGGAAGCAGGAAAGAAGGAAAAAGAGTAAGAAGTTAAGTTTTTTTTAAAAAAGTAGTTCAAATTGAATTTTAATACTTACCTCACCCTACTCTACCCTATCTTAACTTACCTTACTCATTAACACCCAAACACTGATTATTTCATTTTTAAAAAAAGTCAAAACTTCCCAAAACACCCCTTAAAAATCAAAAAACAACCTCTGTAACAAACAACCATTTCTTATATAGTAAATTAAGTTGAAGCCCCATCAACATGTTTACCATGTTTTTGACAAAAATAAGGAAATTACTCGAATAAAATCCTAACTAACGCATCATGTTAATAACATACGACTAGCCAATGATCATTTAAAGATCAGCGCCGAAACGTCCAACATTTCTCAATTACTGTAAATAAAACTTTAGGTAATAAATTAAATGCCTTTAGAATAGAAAGTGAAGGCTGTAAAAATAGATTTTATAGTCAAAAGTTAAGGGGTTAGAGTAAGGCCAAAGCAATGTTAAGCTTGCTTAGAGAAAAGGTATGTTATGGTATAGACGTAATAAAAATAAAGTATTGTTAGAGCAGACTAAAGTTGAGCTAGACGGTATGACTGGAGAAGAGCTAGGGCTATGGTAGAAGAGTAAAGGTATAGTTAGATGATCGGGCTCACATAAGGTAGATTTAGAACGTAGGGCTAAGATACAGCTAAAGAGTATGGCTAAAGCTGGAATAAGATAGAACTAGAGGGTAAAACTAAGATAGAGCTAGAGAGTAAGCTCAGGTTAGAGCTAGAAGATAGGGTAAGGGTCAGAGGGTAGGCGTTAGGACAAGAGGGTCGGGATAAAGTACAGCTAGAGAGTATGGCTATCGCAAAGATAAGTTAGAGCAAAAAAGTAGAACCAGATTAAAACTAGAAAGTAAGGTAAAAATAGAGCTAGGAAATAGAGCAAAAGTAAACATCCAAAAGCAGGGGTTAAGGTAAGGCTAGAGGTAAGACAGAGTTAGAGGGTAAGGTTAGATAAGAGTTAGAAGGTACGAGTAAAGTAGAGTTAAACGTTAAGTTTAGATTATGACTTATATAAAGTTAAAGCCAAACTACAATAAACTCTGTACCTTTATATAAAAGACATTGAATTCTTTTTCCACCAAACATCCAAGTCAAAACAGCTTACAGTACCAGCTTAAAATCACCATTTTTAACTTGGAACCTCTCAGCACCATTTCCACCTACCCCTTTTCAATAAGCCTAACTATCCCTTTACAATAACCTTCTTATAAAATCCGCAACCCTAACCCGATGGTATTGTAAAAACAATCAAACATTTAACAACAGTTATAGCAAAATTTAGCGTCGCAGCGAGGAGGAGAAGAAGGAAGAGAAACAGGAAAACGCATCCTGAAGACCGGTTCAATTCCGAGGGCGTCGAACCCTTCGGATGCGCTTTTGAGAAAAGGTAACAGTTAGAGCGGGCTATAAATTGGCCATATTATACTTTTTGTAACATGAAAGTAAAAGTTATAGGCGTGGTAAAAAAAAATGTCAGCGTGATACTTATAGATCAAAGAATAAAAGAAAAAAATAGATATTAAGGTCAAAAGTTAAAGAGTTAGAGAGTAGAGCTAGGGCAAGCCAGGCTAGTGTAGTCTTGGTAGAACAAGACTAAGATAGAGCTACGATAGGACAAAGGTATAGCCAGACTAGAGCTACGGATATGGCTATAGGAAGGTTAAAGTAGGACTAAGGTAAAGCTAGTGCTAAGCTAGTGTAGGGCTATGGCAAAGCTAAGGCAGGATTAAACTATGGCTAGCATGGAGCTATGGTATAACTAAAGTATGGCCCGGATAAAGCTAGAAATTAGGACTATTTTATAGCTAGGGTCGGGCTAGAGATAAGGGTTAAAGTAGAGCTAAAAAGTAGGGCTAGGGCAAAATTAGAGTCAAGCTATTCTACTATATAGGTTTCCCCCTCCCCCCCCTCTTCTTCTCACTATCGCACCTATGCCCAAAGCTGGTAGTAATCAGTCATAATTTGAATTTTGCCTCCCCTGTTCAGAGATCACCCTCCCTTAACCTAACTTAACTTTTATGCCTTAAAAACATAACTTAGCCTAAACCAAAAACCTTAAAAAATAAAAGCAATGGTTCATCCACCAAATCAATCTTCATATAACTCAATTTCAAAAACAACTCTGATGGTACGGTCTCGGGAATCGCGGCGAATCCCGAATTTATGAGTTATGATCTCGAAGAAATAATAAACAAACAAAAGAATGCCGCAAAGTAAAAGGATGAAACGCCCGCGGCAATTCTCCACCCGAAAACAAACTCGGTCACTGTTGCTTTTACAATAGAAAAACGAGATTACTGCGGTAAAAGTGGGTGTTACTGTTCAGTATTGGGGGTGTAAGAGGGTAGAGTAATAGGGTATGTCTAGTCTATAAGATAGTACAGTAACAAGGCATACTCTATCCTACCTTAATCGATTTACAAGTACCCAAATTACCATCCCAGCTTTAAAATACCAAAACTTTTCCTACTGTAACATTTTTAAACAAAAAAAAATCAACTACAGATATCCTGACGTCAACAGTCCGATCACAACCAAGATATCACAAGAAATACCATTAAAAAGTCATTAAACTCATTGCGGAACTCACGGCTTACTGTACGATTCAGACAACGGATTATTGTAAATAAGGGTTTGACACAGAAAACATAAAGTCATCGAAAGCAGTTAATTAGCGGTCAATTCTGACGTCACAACCACAAATGAGGAAGTGCATTTGTAGGGTTCCAGAAACTGGAGTTACAAAACAATCCGCAATTTTCAGTTTTTTATGTGTTTTGTTTTAAAAAAATTGAAATATATGAAAAATAGAAAATGGAATTTAGATTTTTTATTTTAGCCGTGCTACTGAAAAAATGAACAATATTGATAATATCCCTTCTTGCTCATTGATCAATAAAAAGTGTTTAAGCTAAAAAGATTAACTAGAAACAGCCAAAGTTTGCCCTACCCTACTCTATCCTACACTACCCTATGCTACTATCTTAATATTGCTTTACGTCATAAACATCTTGGCTTTGCCCCTTTTTCTTTACCGCTTTATTCTAGCATTTCTTTGCCATACTTAAAGTCCCACTCTACCATAATCTACAGTATCTTCTAATAACTCTACCGTAGCATTTTTTACATCATAGAAACTTTAAACTTGCAATAACCCTATTTATCACACCTCTACCAAAAAATTACTTTGCACTAATTAAAGACCCTACCTTAACCTGTACATTACATTACCCTCTTATAGCTCTATTCTATCACTATCTTACCTTCCAATTGGTCATATCCAGCCCTGTTTTATCTGTTTTGTAGCCATATTTTAGTCCTGCCTTAAAATATTTACTATATTCGAACTTTATCTTATCCATACCCCAACTATCATAAATTATATTTTGTTAGCCTAACCATACTCAAAATTTCTCAAATCACTCCCTCCCCATTACAATACCTACAAAACCAAAAAAAGTAATCCAAGAAAAAACACACACCACAAGGACGGATATCCAACACGAAATTACGGCTTTCGTCTTTCCGTGCAGCTGTGCCTATTAATCTCACCGATCGCGCATTCGTGCGCCGGAAGCCTGCCCAGCGGCGCCACTTTCCTCGTCGGTCTGAAATCGACCCGGTTCGTTTCTTCATCACGTTCCATGACAACAACGTTCACGACTTGATGAATAGGAGTAATAACAAGGTAATAATATGCTTGAATAACAATATCTTGGCGCGGGTACGGGCATTGTGTAAGTGGACTGGATTTTGAGTAATATTAGTAAAGTGAAAGGTATTTTGGAAATTTTTTTTTAAATTTTTTAAACTTAAAAAAATTTTTTTTGATTAAAAATCTCACTGCTAGTCTTTAAATGGCTTTTAATACTATAAAAACCCTTAAAATCCAACCTTTCAAGTTTTCGTGTTGGGACCC